GGTAAACAAAGGAGGAGGCTGCAATGCTTGGTAAGAAATGTATGCATTATCCTGCCCATGTAATTGTAACTCCTCTGTACAGTATGTTCACAAATAAAATAAAATTAAATTTAAAAAAATATGAATATAGCAAGAACAAAGTATGTCTGGGGTGAATATTTTCCATTTGCTTTTTTAAAAAAAGACATACATGTACTGTGTTCCAAAGTAAAATGTATTTCTTAGTATGAGTCATGATCAAAGATAGAATAAAAATGTTTTTCTGGTTTGTCAGAGATGTTACCTGTACACACATCCATGGACAGGCTAAAAGCAGCCTCAGGTGTTAACACTATGCAAAATAATCATTGTATGTTTGTATTTTTTCACAGGTATAAGTGATTTTTAAAGGAGTCTATAGCTGTAAATGGTTAAGAGCTAGTAATGGAAAAATGCTGAATATGTTTTACAATTAACAAGCCTAGACTAGATTTTGCATTTATTTCTTGTTATCTGGAAGAATTTTCAACAGCACTCTGACAAAGTTGAAGTGCACAAAAAAAGAACATTTACAAATGACAGTTTAAACAATGTCTGACAGTGTAATAGTGACCAGTCACTAGTGATAGTATATGTGGGCTTATCATTATTTGCATTCTATGTAACTCACTAAAATTCAGGGAACATTTCTAGTTATAACCTTAAGTCTAGAAGAAAGAAAGCATGCTTACTGAGTGAAAGGCAGCATGAGAAGGAGAAGAAAGATAAAATCCTAAAAAAAAAATTACTTCTTTTTGGATCAAACACAATTAGACCTCTATAACCTTACCTGGTGAAAAGAATACTAGTTTGACTGAATTCTCCAGCGTCTTTTCTTAAAATAAATTCAGAGCTCTAACTAAAAGCCTCCAGACAGACAGGAAACTCAAGCTCTTCCTTAAATATACTGTCTACTCTATACTGCTAACATTTGTACCAAAAAGTTAAACATGTATCATCAAACTCATTTTGAACATTTTGTAGGCCACACATTTCTTTTGGTTGTCTGTTTTTACCTCAGGAGGGAGGCAAATGCTGGCTTTGATAAACAAGGCTGGATCTTGTTTCGCTGCTTCATTTCCACAGGTGGCACCCTAGGAAACAAAAATAGCTTCAGTCAGAAAACAGAATCCAGAAGCCTGCCCAAAGGGGAACAAATGTCCAGGGGAAGCCACATCCTTGACAGGGAATAAAAATCTTCCTGGCGGTCCTGAGGTTTAATAGGACCATCTCCAAATCCTACATGAGACTGAGGATTCTTGGGTAGAAGGCAAGAAAGAATAGAAAAGGCGAAGGTGATTAGTGTCCTCCCCACTTAAAAAAAAATTAAAGGACAGTGATTCAGAGGAATCTCAGGCTCCCTTTTCAGCATCCCTAGAAAGCCTGAGAAACCAAACTCACTCAAAAGTTCACATACCTAGGGTCCTCCATTTTACATCTGGAGACATCTATGGAAAGCAAGCTTCACAGAAACACCTGACCTGAGCAGGTTTAACAGGCTTTTGCCCTGGGCCCTTGAGACTGCACAGCCACTCCACTGAGAGTACATCTAAGTGTCCTCTATTCCTGGCTTAGATTAGACTCCACAGTTTCAAAGGGTATTGCAAAATATGGGCACACAAGGAAAATAAATGCTGGTAGTATCTGGACAGCCAGAAAAGAAGTCATCATCTAAGACTTACTGATGATCAATTTAAGTGAAAAAATTACTAAGACTTAATCAACTTTTTCTATGATAGGCAGGACTCACACAGAAGGAAACAGTGCTTAAATACGAAGTTTCCACAGTTAGAACTGTAAGGTTGAGAACTAAGAGTCATATAAAGTTCTTATGGAGGAAAATATCTTTTGGGACTATAACAAAATGACAAGGATTCCTTTGTTTATATGGAAGAAAGATAGAGAAATATTGGTTAACAAATCAAGCCACCAAGTTTGAATTATATCCAGAGGGCATTTACCTAGCAATGTTTTTTGTTGTTTTTTTTGCCCCAGCAGCCACTTACCTAACTTTATGTCATGAAACTTTATATCTTTTTCAATGCTGAAATTAAATGCAAAAACTTCATTTTTTACATATAATCAGCAAAAGCTCAAAACAAATTAAAACTGAAACAAAAATAAGTCACATGATTATTTTGATCTAATTGTGTCCTGTCATCCATTCAAGATTTAAAAGGTCATTTAAACTTTATCCCTAGACAAAGGTCTGAAAACAGAGAGAAGTTTTGTCTTCAGTAAATTTTCTGTGACTCTCAAGTTTTATAAGTGGCATCTAATGTAAAAGGTTTTCAGTAAATATATATATAAATATATGTAGTCTATCATTTAATAAATATTTTTAAACAAAAAAATCATAGGTCGTATTTATTATACCAAGATCACATAGCCGAGTATTTTAGGATCTAAAGATCAAATACTTCTAAGATATACTCTATTAATTTAAGGAGATGAATGAGGGGGTAGGGAAATTTTTTCCTGCCATTAAACATTTGTATAACATTATTCAATATAGGCATACAGCTGCTTCCAACGCACCAGAACATTTCAGAAGCACAGGTCTCTTTCTTGTCAGAAGATTTTGGAGGGCCTTTTATGGCCCCAGCATGAGACTTTCCCTACCCAAAATTGTTCCAAAGGTGGTCAACACTTCTGCTTCACGGTCCATAAAGTTTGATTATTTATCAGTTTCAAATTGTAGAAGAATTTATCTAAAAATACTTGAATGGCAAGATGTCAGTGTATAACACAAAATTAGAAAAGACTCAAACCTTATGATATTTGAGGCTTCTAAAACAAGTCCAGCTAATACAATGTATATGGATTTGTGTAAAAGACTAGTTAGAGAATTATGTTCAAGTAGTAAAAACGAAGCTTACCAATAGGTATTTGTTCCCCACAATATACAATGCAGCACATAGTAGAGGAAGACAGCACTCAGGAATATGGCCACAAGGTACCCTCTCATGGCTAGCCCACCTGAAACACAAGAAGAAGAGTCTTGAGAAAGGGAAATATGTTATCTGTATGGATTTCCACAATGGTTCAAATGTGAGTATTAGCATATAAATACATAAAGAGGGAACAGAAGAAAATGGCAAAAAAGCCTATAATCTTGAATATGCCAAGTGAATGTGCAAAAAGAGACTATTTTTTCTCTCTCTTATCAATGATCAATAGAACATTTTGTGTGTTTAGAGACAATAGACAATCCTGTGGTATCCTATTAGGTAAACAAGAAAAAAATCCTTCAGAAAAAATGTACACATCTCTCTTTCTTTCAGAAACATTGATTTAGATTCATTTTTTTTCTCTCAGTAGAAAGTGAATGTGTGCTTCCAGATGTGAATGAATATTTTATTTTTCAGAGTCTAAAACTACTTTGTTATACAATATATTTTAGTCCTTTCAGAAAAAGACTTAAAAAATGGGAATAAAAGGTACTGAAACTATTTCTCACTTTCTCAATTTCTGTATACTTTTAGAGGCATCTTTGGATCTTTCAATATCACAGCCTAGGTGTGTTCAACATTTATGATGTTCATTGCACATGTACAGACAAAAATATGACTATACCCTTCTTAGAATGTAAATACAATAAAAATTTTCATAAAATATGGCTTATCGGTTTATTCATTAAATTATTTATTTTGGTGCCAGTACTGAGACTAGAACTAAAGGGCCTTGTGCTCTCATTTGGCTTTTTTCACTGAAGGCTTTTTTTTCTCTACTTCTTAAGCCACACCTCTACTTCCAGATTTTTGCTAATTAATTGGAGATAAAGGTGTAAGAGCTTTTCTGTCCAGGATGGCATCAAATGGTGATCCTTATATCTCAGCCTTCTGAGTAGCTAGGGTTATCACTGTAAACAATCACCACCCAGCTTAAAATATCTTTTTAAAAACATAAAATATGAAGACATATTTAGTTCCTCCTCTTTTCATCAAAATCAGAAATATGCAATTAAGTGTGAAAGACAATAATAGATCCATTTCAGTACATCTGACTTTATTTCTCTCCCTCCCTTATGAAGTTTCTGGTTCATCTAAACAATCATCTGTATCCTTCCTCGCATTCATATCTACTAACCTCAACCTAAGTACAGAAAGTATGAATCTTTTATGATACATTCCCAAATAATGTAATGCTGCCTCACTGTTAATGATAAATAAATTCAAGTCAAAATTTTCAACTACTTCCTGACCTTCATAAGAGTAATGCATTAAACAAAACTAAAGTATTTTTCTGATAATGCAAGACGTTCTAAAATCAATATCATAACCATGCTTTGCTTCTCAGTCTTGACACCCCCAGGACCTCATAGAGCTGCAGGATTATTTGCTAAACGGCCCTAAACTGTATTGATGTTCTGGCTGAAATTGCTCTTCCTGCCAGCTATTTGTTGTCTGCACCCACACCCCTTCTATATGCCATAATTACTGAGAAATAAAAGCTATGTCAGGAGAATGCAAATAAACAAGTGAGGAAAATGCAAACATGGGTCTAAATCAGTATACAAGATGACTGTGAAAACACTTCACTTACAGTCCAACTCCACCTATGTAAATCAGTTTGCCTATTTCAACCTGAGTGGCCTTACATGTTGACAAGCAAAAGTACACCCCTTCAACTTAATTGGTAAGACATAATCTCAGAAGGCAATTTCCCATAGGCCAAAATAGTCACTAAACTATTTGCTAAAATAACTTGCTTAAATCAAACACTTAAGTTTCCACAAAGAATAATGTCATTTGTGTAAATATCCAACAAGAGTGCATCTTACTAGTACAGACAAATTTTTAAGGCTATATTGACACTGACACTGGCGGTTCACACCTGTAATCCTAGTTACTTAGGAGACTGAGATTTGAAGACCATGGTTCAAAGACAGCCCAGTCAGGAAAGTCCCAAGAGACACTTATCTATAATTAATTATCAAAACAAACAAACAAAAAATAAAACTGGAAGTAGAACTGAGGCTCAAATGGTAGAGCACTAGCCTTGAGCAAAAAAAATTTTAAAAAGCTTAAGGATAGCACCCAGATTTTATGCCCAGCACCAAAAATAAACAAACAAAAATAAGTGTTTATATACATATATATATATATATATCTTGAATATTATGCATATACGATGAAAAGCTGAGTGGAGAGGTAGGTGGAGGGGGAGAATGATGAAAAGGTGATATCAATCAAGATAATCAAGATGTATTAAAAACTGATGTGCTGGTTTCTCCTTTGTCTAACTACTTAAGGATAATACAAACATAACTAAAAAATAATATCTAGGATAAGACAGTGTATAAAGGCCTAGAGAAAGAGGTGAGAGTTTGCAATTCGTTTCTCTATCCCCAAAAACACACCCCTCAGGCTAATTATGTATTATTTTACAGAGCACAAAACGAGATTTTTTTGTTTTGTTTTTGTTTTGTTGTTTTTTCATTCATCAATAAGTGGTTTAACTGAAAACAAAGAAGTGTGAGAGAATGTTCCTTTTCCTTCAAAAAGTAAAATAAACCCACTCTTAAAGAGCCCATGCATAGCACTTGAGAACATGTTAGAAAGGTTATTTACTCTAGTATTTATTTCATGGCTAACTCAGAGCTTTGATACCCAGGTTGCAAAGAAGACCAGGGCTATCCAGGATATCTTTGTGATAAACATGTACAATTCCTCTGCCAGCTCACAGGAAAAATTTCCACAAATAAACTAATTGTCTAACCATCATATATTATAAATGGTAATCATTTGCTGCGAGCAAAAGCAATGAAAGGAAAATAAGTTGGAATTTAACATAGGGTATTTGATTCTAAAGACAAAATAAATAAAAAATAAGGCCTTGAAATAATATAGCTTCAACTACCAAAACAAACGTGTGTTCAACTTTTTCAAGTGTTTATATAGTTCATCCTCTAAAATGAAAGCCTTCAGACTCAAACATTCATTTCTTCTCAGACTCTGAGATGTAAGCCAGTGTATAAACAATCTACATGGCCAAATTAGCTCAATCACAGTGGCACCTTTTCCTCCTCATTAATAATAAGTCTCTATTATTTGTGTGGTGCTTTGAAGTTCATAAAAAGCCTATGTGTCTATTATTTCACGTAAGGCTCACAATATATTTGTTAGATAGGTGTGCAGATATAACCTTCAATGTATGAGTAAACTTAAGGCTTCTAAAGTTGAATTGTCTCCAATCACACAGTTTAAAGGGAGACAGAATAGACTTACAATTATACCCATGGTTTAGAATTCTGTTCCTTTTATCTCCTTGGCATCACCAAATGAAAGACAAGAAGGCAACTCAAGAGAAAATTTGAATCCCAAACTTCCCATGGTGCTCCTTTGACATGTGGAGTTCTGGAAGGGTGAATGATAACAGAGCAGAAGATCCCTACCAGGCAGTGTTCAAGAGGTAGCACCAAGTTGGGGGAAAGGGCCTACTAACATTCCTAAGCCCTTGCACACATCCCCCAACCTGATTCATGTGCCCAAAAAAGTTTGAAAACCAGTGTTGTTAGAATACACTAAACAATTTGAGGCAGAAGAAATTAATGAATTTGCTGCAATACAGAGATGTCACAGTAGGTACTGAGACTTCATGTGCCATAAGAACAGGTGCTACCTGTCAGGTCTATCGTCTTACCCAAAGACTTCTAACAGTAGCCAGTCTTGCAGAAAATACTAAGTACATCATTGTTACAGATCTCAGAACTAAACACCATATATTAATTTTTTCCAGCCTTGAAGGCCTGGCATATGGCACTTATCCAATGGATAATGGCGGGTTGAAATTGTTGAGAAATATGAGTGCTTAACCAAAACATACGATGAAGGCCTTTGGTGTATTGTCTCAGGTCTTCCTGACACACACCCTTTAAAGGAAGCAGTCATTTGCAATGCCTATTTCACAAATGAGGAAACAGAAGGCTGGGGAAGAACAGTAACTTTCCTGAGCTGAAAAATTGCAGAATCCAGACGCAAAACTGTCACACCGCCCTTCTTAGTTAATGAACTCTCCCAGTTGAAAAGACTGACCCATCTTCTCAAACAAAGACAACATTATAGGATGTCTTTCTAATTGTTGGTTTCATCAGTTCGTTAATCTGTATCCATTCAATACCAATGTACAATATGGTGAAGTCTGTAAGTCTTTCCATACAAACTACTCAAATAAAACCCTATTACTCCCAACCTTCCAGCCTGCTCTTAACCACAATAGCATATATGAACAAAATAAAATATAGATGAACACTGAAAATTTGTCAGATTTTTAATTTTGGGCTCTCCTAATGCTTCCTCAAATCAAAAGGAGCTTGCTTATCTAAACATCTAGACATTTTTTAAAGCATGTTTACCAATAATTCAGCAATAATTGCTCTACTTACCAACTCCAAAAACCCTATAGGTCTATCATCCAATACCATATACCACCAAAGAAAAAGATAGTCTGAGTGTGCAGACTTCTTCTGCCCCGCCCCCAGGGGGCTTCTCTGTCCCCAGTTTCCTCCTGAACCAAGTGCAGGTGCTTCCCAATGGCCAGCTGCAGGCTCAGTCACCCTGAGCCTTGGGACTGATCTGGCCCAAGAAAAGGGAACCGGAGGCACCTGTAACTAAACCGGTAACAGTTTGGTCAGGTTCCCATGGATCCAACACTAGTCTTGGACATCTCATCCACCATAACTGGCTTCCTATTGTTGGGTCCTTCCTCATTTCCTACTGTTTACATTCTTTTACTCCTATTCCTCCTCCTCCTGTTCTTCTTCCTTCTCATCCTGTCCTCCTCTTCTTTCTGCTTCTCATTCTCCTGCTTCTTAGCCATCACCTCCAATTCTTCTCTTCAAACTGTCTCTCCCTTCTTTCCTCCCTCCCTCTCATCAGTTCTGCAGCTAAACTTTCAATTCTTTTTTTTTTTAATTTTATTTGTGAACATGCTGTACAGAGGAGTTACAATTACATGGGCAGGATAATGCATACATT